CTACAGGCCATAGTAATCAAACCAGCATGGTACTGGCATAAAAACAGACACATAGATCAAAGGAACAGAATAGAGAGCCCAGAAATAAACCTATACCTCTATAGTCAATTAATATTTGACAGAGGAAACAAGCACATACAATAGGGTAACTAGTTTATTCAACAAATGGTGTTAGGAAAACTGGACAGATACATATAGAAAAATGACACTAGACCATCTTCTTATACCACACACAAGAATAAATTCAAAATGGATCAGACTTAAATGTTAGACCCAAAAACCATAAAAATCCTAGAAGAAAACATAGGCAGCAAACTCTTGGACATTGCTCATAGAAATTTTTTTGTCAGTTGTATCTTCCCAGGCAAGAGAAAAAAAAGAAAAAAGAAACAAATGGATTATATCAAAATAAAAAGTTTTTGCACAGCAAAGGAAACCATTAACAAAATAAAAAAGACAACTTGCAGAATGGAAGAACGTATTCACCACTACATCTGATAAGGGGTTAATATCCAAAATTTACAAAGTATTTAACAAAACTCGATACCCAAAAAACAAACAACCCAATTAAAAAAGGGACAAAGGATCTGAATAGACATTTCTCTGAAGAGGACATACAGATGGCCAATAGACATATGCAAAGATGCTCAATGTCACTAATCATCAGAGAAATGCAAAGTAAAAGCACAATGAGAGACCAAAAAGCGCAGGCGGCTGCTGGAGGACTGGGTCCGGCGAGGTGCCGCTGGCGGACCAGGTGGTCCCACATTTGTGTGTGGATAAACTGGAGAAGCAGCTGGGGAGCAAGATAGACTGTGCAACCCAGGGTTCCAGTGCACAAAAAGAAAGTCTCAAAACCTCTGGAGGTAAAAACCTGTGGGGGTTGTGGCAGTGGGAGAAACTCCCAGTTTCACAGGAAAGTCTGTTGGAGAGATCCACAGCGTCCTAGAGTGTGCACAGACCCACCCACCTGGGAATCAGCACTAGAAGAGCCCAATTTGCTTTGGGTAGCAGGGGAAGCAACTGAAAGCTGGCTGAGAGCCAAGGAAGCAGCATTATTCCCTCTTGGACTCCTCCCCCACAGACAGCGTCACAATACAGCGACCAGGGTTACCCTGAACTGGCTAATACCTAAGGCTCCTCCCCTTCCAACATAACAGGCATGCTGAGATAAAGAAATATGGCCCGAATGAAAGAACAAATCAAAGCTCCAAAAATAGAACTAAGCGATGGACGGATAGCCAACCTATCAGATGCATAGTTCAAAACACTGGTAATCTGGATGCTCACTGAATTGGTTGAGTATGGTCACAAAATGGAGGAAAAAGCAAAGGCTATGCAAAGTGAAATAAAGAAAAATATACAGGGAAATAACAGTGAGGGGAAGGAAACCGGGACTGAAATCACCGATTTGGAGCAGAATGAAGAGATAAACATTCAACCAGAACAAAATGAAGAAACAAGAATTCAAAAAAATGAGAAGAGGCATAGGAACCTCTGGGACAACTTTAAATGATCCAACATCTGAATCATAGGGATTCCAGAAGAAGAGGAAGAGCAAGAAATTGAAAACTTATTTGAAAAAATAATGAAAGAGAACTTCCCCAATCTGGTTAAGGAAATAGACTTCCAGGAAGTCCAGGAAGCTCAGAGAGTCCCAAAGAAGTTGGACCCAAGGAAGCACACAACAAGGCACATCATAATTACGTTACCCAAGATTAAAGATAAGGAGAGAATCTTAAGGGCAGCAAGAGAAAAGGAGACAGTTACCTACAAAGGAGTTCCCATAAGACTATAAGCTGATTTCTCAAAAGAAACTTTGCAGGCAAGAAGGGGCTGGCAAGAAGTTTTCAAAGTCATGAAAAGCAAGGACCTAAATCCAAGATTACTCTATCCAGCAAAGCTATCATTTAGAATGGAAGGGCAGATAAAGTGCTTCCCAGATAAGGTCAAGTTAAAGGAGTTCATCATCAGTAAGGCCTTATTATATGAAATGTTAAAGGGGCTTATCTAAGAAAAAGAAGATCAAAAACTATGAACAGTAAAACAGAGAGAAGGGGGAGGGGGAAGAATGGGGGAAAAGGTACAGGGAATAAGCAGCATAAACAGTAGGTACAAAATAGGCAGGGGGAGGTTAAGAATAGTATAGGAAAGAGAGAAGCTGAAGAACTTATATGTATAACCCTTGAAGATGAATTAAGGGGGGAGGGCACGGTGGAATGCTGAGTGGTGGGACAGTGCAGTGTGGAGGGGAATAAAGGGGAGAAAAAAAATGGGACAATTGTAATAGTATCATCCATTAAATTTTTTTTTTTAAAAACACAACATCCATGCCATCTTTCACCTGGCTGAAGACCACATGCTTGCCATCTGACCACTCAGTCAGTGCAGATGAAAAACAGAATCAATTGTCAATTGTCCAGCATTTGCCATGGACCAGATGCCAGAGCCCATATGCTTCAGGATGAAATTCCCATCATCAAATTTCTCCCCATAGATGGACTTACCACATTTGCCACTATGCCATGTGAAGTCACCACCCTGGCACATAAATCCTGAAATCATTCTGTGAAAGCATGGACATTTATAACCAAATCCTTTCTCCCCGGTGCTCAGAGAACAGTTTTCTGCTATCTTTGGAACTTTTTGTGCAAATGGTTTGAAGGAGGCAAGGCCTTTTGAGGAAGCCATACTGCAGCTCTGGCTTTTAGAGATACTGAAAATACCTCTGTGGAACCAGAGGTGGTGACTGACTGAATTAGAATCACTCTAATCAGCCACAACATAAAGTCTTTTAAGAAGTTGTGTGCTCACAACTTTCTCACAACTGAATTTGATCAGAGGCACAAAGGAAAAGAATCTCAATGTGAATGGACCAGTCTGCATGCCTACCAAGACTCTGAGAATCACTACAAAAGAAACTCCTTGTGGGGAGAGTTCTAAGACAAGGCATAGGATTCAGATGAGGATTCACAAGCAAATCATTGACTTGCACAGCTTTTCTGAGATTGTAAAGCAGATTTCTTCCATCAGTATTGAGTCAGAATCAAGGTTGAAGTCACCATTGCAGATGCTTAAATCAACCTCTTTAATAAATTGACTATCAGTTGTTGATAAATAAATAAATTTCATTTGACATAAAATACTATACTAGTTTCAGGTGTACAACCCAGTGATTAGACATTGTATACTAAGTTATCATTCTGATAAATATCGTACCCATCTGAGACCATACAGTTATTACAGTATGATTGACTGTATTTCCTATGCTGTAATTTATAATCTCATGGCTACTCTGTAACTACCAATTTGTACTTCTTAATCCCTTCACCGTACCCATTTCTCCAACCCCACTCCCAGGTGCCAACATTCAAAATGTTTTTGTATCTATTAGTCTGTTTCTGTTCTGTCTTGTTGATATTGTTTTTTAAATTTAATTGTTGATAGACATGTATTTATTGCCATTTTATTATTCACATTTTTAATTCTTTTTCTTCATAAAGAACCTTTTAACATTTCATGCAATACTGGTTTGGAAGTAATACACTCCTTTAAATTAAAAAAAACCACAATGAACTACCAATTCAAAAGAACCTACACACCCCTATGTTCATAGCAGTGTTATTTACAATAGCCCAGCACTGGAAATAGCCTTAGTGCCCATTAATAAATGAGTGGATCAAAAAACTGTGGTACATTTACACAATGGAATACTATACAGCAGAAAGAAAGAAGGAACTCCTACCCTTTGTGACAGCATGGATGGAACTGGAGAGCATTTTGTTAAGTGAAATAAGTCAGGCGGTGAAAGACAAACACCATATGACCTCATCTATATGTGGAACCTAATCAACAAATCAGATAAATGAGCAAAAAAGAACCAGAGACATGGAAATAAGTAACAAAATGACAGGGTTCAGAGGGGAGGGGGAAGAGGTATAATGGGGGAAAGAAGGGGAGCATGTACAAAGGACCCATGGACAATGTGGAGGGGACTGTCTTTGGGAGTGGGGAGGTTAGAGGGCATAGGGGAGAGCAATGGGGCTGGTGGGAGAATGGGGACAACTGTAACTCAACAATAAAAAATAAATTCTTATAGCAACACCCCCTCTAAAAAAAAAAAACCACAATGAAATACCATCTCACACCTGTCCAAATGGCTATCATCAATAAATCAGAAAGCAAGTGCTGGCGAGGATGTGGAGAAAGGGGGACTCTGCACTGTTGCTGGGAATGCAGACTGGTGCAGCCACTATGGAAAGCAATATGGAGATACATCAAAAAATTAAAAATGGATCTGCCTTTTGACACTTCTGGGAATATATCCGAAGGAACCGAAAACTCTAATTTGAAAGAACACAAGCATCCTTGTGTTCACTGCAGTGTTATTTACAATCACGAAGATATGGAAGCAGCCCAAGTGTCTATTAATAGATGAGTGGATAAAACAACTATGGGACATTTACACAATAGAATACTACTCGGCTACATAAAAGAATAAAGTTTTACCCTTCGCAACAGTATAGATGGATCTGGAGAAAATTAAGTGAAATAGGTCAGTCAGAGAAAGACAGATATATGATTTCACTCATCTGTGGAATCTAATGAACAAACTGAACTAACAAGGAAAATGGGGACAGACTCATAGATGGAGAACAGGATGACATCTGGGGGTCGGGGGAGGTTAAAGGGTAGAGGGATTGAACAAAAAGGCAAAAGGACTCATGGACATGGACAACGGTGGGGTGATTGCTGGGAGAAGGGGGCGGATTTAAAGGGGCTACAAGGTGATGTAAAAAAATACAGTAAACAAAAAAAAGAAATAAAGATGCTTTTCAGATTTCACACAATGAGCTATTGTCCTCATTGTGCCCTAAGAAATTATAATACACATTCGTTTTCTTCTTTCTAAATGTTTTAAAAACTAAAAATGATAAAAATATAGGAGACATTATCTTGGACACTTATTGTTATTATAAAATCAAAAATATGCAATATAAACATAAATTGTTTTATTTTTTTTAAAGAAGAATGTAAAGAATAATACAGGTTACATAGCTATAATCTCGTTAAGGAAGATGACATTCAGTTTGCAACAAATACCTACTAGTGAAAATACATTACTAGCATTTCAAAAATTTACAAAAATTTGACAAAATATTCTGCTGAAGTTACCTTTATCTTTGTAAACAAAATATGAACTGGTTTATCCAGTTTCCACTGCACGCCAAACAGGAGGCAAAGTGATAGAGATCATCTTTGATTTTAAAAGAATAAAAACTAAACTAATTTATAGCCCACATATAATCCTTGGGAGTATTTTTTGAGGAGGATGCTGGGGGAATTCAACAGGCTAATGCATATCATTGTCTACTTGAACAGTCTTTTCTTTTACTCAATTGCCTTGACACTTTACAATTACTTATTTCCCCACAAGATATCAGTATTGTATGAGCCACAATTCGTATATTTTCTTTTATTCCCCTGCATATACGTATGCTCCATTTCCTACCAGTTTTCATAAACAAGCCGAAAATTCCTACACACTAGGAGGGTGGTTTCTTTCAGTTTTTGAGGCCTTCTCTTTGTAACATCAAAGAGGTTAACAGTTTGGCCAACATGTGCATGAGGCCATTGATGGTTGGGTGGTATGCCCCTCCCATTTCAAAAATACAAACAGAAAGTGGGTCCGAACGAGGGCAAACTCTAAGTTGTGTTCTGCTGCAGCCTCTGGCCAGGTCAGCTGCTTTTACTCCTTCACTTTGCTGATGTAGTCAGTGAGTTTGCCGATGTTTTCTTCCTGCTGCTCCAGGGCATCCAGCACAATGCCCATGGGTGTCTTCTTCAGCCCGATCCCCTCCATCTTATTCTCTAGTTTGTTCTTGAGGTTCCGAAGTCTGAGTGACGCGTGGATAAACATCACTGCAGAGAGGTGAGACATGGTTAACCCCCTTCCTCCACAGCCACAGCCCACCCACTTTTGGTCCTGGGTCTTGTTCGCTGGAGTCCAACCTGGTTCTCTAACCATTCCCAACCATCCAATGGCTCCTTGGACTGCATATAAGCCTTATATAAAGCTCTCCTTCAAGTCAAGTATGACGTTTTCCTTTTGTGTGAAGGAAAGGACTGTCTTCGGGGTGAGGGGGGATGCTGACCGGGCAACCACACTTCCCTCCCCACATTGGTACTGTCACCTTTCAGCTGCTACAAATGCCCTGACACTCAAAGCAAGTCCACATGACTCCAAATCTGCAGACCAATCACCTTTCTACAAGGTTCCCAGAAAGCAACTCAAGCTCAGTTCTGGGATTATCTGCATTGTGTTCCCTACAGGAAGCAGTGGTGAAGTCAAACGGATAGTCAGTTTTCTGAAGATTTATACATACAAACTAGTAGTTTTACAGATTTAATATGCCCTCATGTTCCCCAAATTTGCTTCGTCATCAAGAATTACCCAAGTTTGTTCATTAAGAAGCAGATTCCCTGGCCCCTCTCCTAGACCAGAACCTTAAAGGGATGGGCCTGGGAATCTGTATTTTAAATAGGCACCCCTGGTGATCTATATCAATGATTTTCAAACTTCTGTGTATATACAAATCACCTGCGCAGCCCATTAGATAGACAAATTCCCAGTCTCCACTCTCCACTCCCCCAATTCAGGCTGTTAAGACTTAGGTAGGGCTTCCGAGTGTAAAATTCCACATTCATTCTGGATGATTCTGATACAGGTGATCCTGCACCCTCATTTTGAGAAACTAATATGCATTCTATCTGGAGGCTCCCAACCTAGATTGACCATTAGAAACACATGAAGCAATTTTTAAAAATAGGGGGTTTTGTGGGCACCACTATCAACCCACAGAATCAAGATCTCTAAGAAATATGGTTGGGAAATTTATATATACATTTTTTTTTATTGTTCAAGTACAGTTGTCTACATTTTCCCACTACCACTTTCCCCTGCCCCACCCACCCCTACCTCCCAACCTCAATTCTTCTCCCCTTTGACTTTGTCCATAGGTCCTTTATACATGTTCCTTGACGACCCCTCCTCTTCTTTCCCGTTATAGGGAATTTATATTTTTAAAAAGCATCCTGGTTGATTCTCACAGTCATCAAAGTTTGGGAATCACTGATCTTGTCTAATTTCCTTATTTTATAGATGTGTGAACTACCCTATATAGTATACCTGGTCCAAACCACGTGGCTGGTTTCAATTTCACTACACTGGCCTGTATCAGACTCTGAGGTGAAAAGGAACCAAAGTTAAATCATTGAAATACTAAGCCTCTAACATATTAGGAAAACTTGAAGAATATTTCAAAAATTCTGAATTTGTTGATTCAAATATTTTGTCTAATTCTGTGTGGGATTCATCTATAAATATTCTGGGCTTAACCTAACATAACTCTAAAAAACCAATTGATTTTACTTTATGAAATAATGTACATGTGAAATACTATTAAAGGTTAAAGGGATATTCCTGTCACTAAGCACACTAGAATTTTAATCAGATTTCTGCTGATGAGACTGAATTTTATCTGTTCTCTATTTCAGGCTTCATTGGTGTGAAATCTCAGTGGGGGGAAAAATGCATGTAAAACTTTGAAAATATCTAGTTCTTGTCACCAGAATTGGAGAACTTAGGATCTATATTCTGGGTCAGTTATTTATATAGACTTATAAAACTTGACACCAATAATGATCTTCTGAGTAATATAGAGTAAGTAGTTTACTTCCAAATAACATACATTCATTCCTGAGTCAGGGCAGTGTAAATGGCAACTTAAAGATTGAGAGAAGATTTAATATCAGACAAACCTGAGGTCCAGTGCAGGCTATGGCACTTTCCAGTGTGTGGTTTCGGATTTGTATTTCTTTTGTTTACTGTTGCATCCCCAGAAGAGTGTCTGGTACTGAGTAGGTGCCCAATACATATTTGTAGAATTAATGTACTATTAGGCTTTAATCTGCTATTTCATAATATTCTGATAATTTTGCAGACATGCCAACACACATAAGCAGCAGGTTATATAATTCCCACTGAACAATCATTCCTACGTTTTTGTAAGAAAAATCAACTCAGGTTCACTTACACAACAACGGAAAAGTGATGCCAAACACAAAGACCATGACTCCTCCGAACATGGATATGAGGAAGTAGCTAGCAACCATGACCACCATGACAAAGGTTGTGGGGTACTGCTTCTTCATCCGGCGGAGGATGTCTTTATTGTGGGCTGCCCACACAAACCCCGTGAACACCAGCACCACCACAACTCCTCCAAGGATCATGTTGAAGGGGCTCAGGAACCTGGAATATTAAAAAAAGAGGGAGGCTAGGTCAACAGTAATAGCAGCAAGAATAGGAAGATGAGGAAGGGGAGGAGTAAAAATGAGTGTGTAGTATTCACTAAGCATTGTACTTCAATTGCCTCATATAGCCCTCAGAACCACTCATTCATTTCTCAAAAGAAGAAACTGAAGTGCAGGGGTAAGAAAATGGTGGGGCTAAGACTCATATCTAGGCAGTTTGACTCCTACCAAACTCATCAGTTCATCTCATTAGAGGTCCACAAGTTTAAAAGACTTAAAATTTAAATGACCCCATAGTTTGGAAGGGCTATGTTTACCTTTCTTTCATTCAGGGCTCTAGCACACATTAAATTGTATTTTCTGGGCTCTAAAGGTTTATTTAAATCCTCACGGAAATGGCTGTGGTAGATGAATGTAGCAGAGAGGTCACACAATGACTTCCATGGGCCAGATCCAGTCTATCGTCAAACTTGTGTTTGAAATGTACAGTGTTTTAAAAAACTTTAACTTGAATCTCAATGTGTTTAAAAAATCCATAAAACTTGGGATTTCTTGCTTTTCCTCAAAACAAGAAAACCTAACCACACTAGGCCCACTTTCCCATGTGTTAACAAAGGCTGGAGGTGCCTTCCCGTTCAGATAGAAGTTAATCTCCATTATGCCTCGGCCCCCACTACCACCACAGCATCTCTGACACAGAGGCCCCAGTTAACCACCATTACTCATTGTTTTTCTAATAAACGGCCTGCGTTGCTCTCTTACACAACTGGACTAGTCATGGAGGCATTTGAGTTTATGACTCCTGGCATAGAGACTCCATTATAACTCCTAAAAAGGGCCGAGAGCATTGTTAGGAAATGGGTTATCAACTGGGATTTCCAAACACAGAGCTTTCAGATCCATTGGTACATAAACCAAAGGTTACACTACTGTTCATAATGGGGGAACACATTATGAGGAGGAACTTTACACCAAGTATTTCATAAAAAAAATTACTGGGCATTGTAGCCCCCACCTCTACCCCTACCCACCGTGATTACAAAACCCTTAACAGGAAAGTTGTGGTCAGCAAGTGCAACAAATTACTAACATTTTACCCTCATAAGAGGCTAATGAGCATTTTACTTGGGAAGGACAAAGAGGGTCAATGTGTTTTCATCATGCTCCGAGTATCACCACAACTGATTTGGAAGTGAGGGATGGCGGAAGGCAGGATAATGAAAGGTGAAGCCAAGGGCTTACTATCTCTGAAACAGAACAAAGGGAGGATTCATAGTCATGTTGAGATTCATGAGTAGGATAACTAAGAATTTTTTAAAAATCCCTTTACATTTAGCTCTGATTCTACCTCTCCAAACATAAGAGCTATTTTAAATCGTTTTTATTAGGAGTGAAAGTATTACATACCTTAATGGATGAAATCGGGGATATAATCAATGTCAAAAATACTTTTAAGAAGTTAAAATGAAATTTTACATGAAATTAAACAGTGGTAAGAGTATTAATACATAATTTAAAATTAAACCCTACAATAATAAATTGCTTCTTTCATTCAAAACTCTTGCAAGCACTTATACTCTTTAAGACGATAAATCCCCTCCCTAGAATAGAGTCTAAGGAAATAAACAAAAATGAAAAGACTTGAGTTGTACAGTATTCACGAGTGGTACTTATGATTAATAACTTTTAGAAATAACCTATAGGGCCAAGAATTTACTAGATGGTGATATATAAGGCAATTTTTTAAGAGTCAAAGCATAATTAATAATATGGAAAACATTAATAATGCATCGGTAAAAGCGACTACAACACATTGTCCGTGTGAGAGTAGGTGGATTCACCATATGCTATACAGCTCAGAAGTAGAAATTTTTACAATTAGTAAATTATTTTGTAATCAGAAATAATGTGAACATATAAAAAATAAAGTATAAAAATATAAAAGCAGCTGCTCCCCAGCCCCACACCCAGGCGTGGTACAGCCAACTACAACAGTCCATCTTTACTTCATCTCTTTAATAACGTTAATACAATTTCCATTCATACACACAGTGAAGCTGCTCCTTCTCCCACTCAAACCTTGGTTCACTGCCCCCAAGCTTTCCCAACATCTAGCCCATGTTCTCTTCTGTCTTCCCCAGTTCTTTATTATCTGGGTCTAGTCAGACTCTCTGTACTTTTTTTCATTTCTTTTCTTTTTAAAATTTTATGTAGGTTATACCCTACCTCCTGACTTAACCCCATAATTGGTCTGAGAAAGACAAAAATTTCCTTATAGGCTTTAGGAAACAAGAATTGGACAGGGCAAAAACAAAATTCTCTTTAGCAGGTGGTGAGGAGACTAAATGGAGAGGCCTGGAGACTCTCACAGATTAATAAATCTCATTACTAACACCCAAAGAAGTCTGATAGAAATTACACCAAAGACTACAGTAGTTATATTGGTGGTAGGATTATGAGTAGTTTATTTCAACTTGCTTATTGCTATTTACTTGTTTTCCTCAATAACCATGTATTAGTTGAATATTAAAAAACTGATATTTAAAAATGAATAAATGGAAGTGGAAAAAGGTACCTGAAAGAAATGAACACTTTTACATAGCCTTGGTGTTTACCTACAACTCACTCAAATGTTTCTGAGCTGTAAAGAAAAGACCAACATTAACACAAAGAACTAGAGTAGAGGGTTCAAGTTTCAAGAAACTCTTTTGCATAAAATATAAATAGGAAAAGACCGGTTGGCAGCAAAGTGCCCAATGTCCCCTAATCAGTTCTTTCTGGAACACCTATTAAAATAATATTTCATGAAGTGAGCATGTAATAAAATGCATGCCAACCTTTTCCTATTTTCCTCTAGACAAGTAAAGTAGATAGCTGGGTTGAGTGTCTAAATTAAGCCAATGACAAAGAACAATGAAAAATCCTGGCCTGACCCAAGCAATTCCAGATTTGCTTTTCACCTGTTCCTGCTGCTCATGTTCAAGGGAAGAAAACAGAGCAAAGAGACAGAACTGGTTTGAGTTTACAACACACCCAGCCACAATCTATAATTAGAAAGTAACTGAGTTTCTAAGCTTGAAAAAATGAACACAGTTATTCAGAGCAGAAATAATATTCTTCCTTATTCTGCTTAAGGGCAATTCCATTCCAAGAAATGGTAAAATGCACACCACTCCAATGCCCTGGCACCTGTCTGCACTTGGAGCAAATTAACACACACACCCCAGCAAAAGGGAGAGACAGATGGAAAAAGGGAGAACAGCAGAGAGGGAAAGAGAAGGAACGTGATTTTCTGTCCTTGGTGGAAGTAGGACCTAGTTTCACAAATCAAAAATGAAACAAAAACAGACTCATAGAAACAGAGATCAAAGGGATGGTTACCAGAGGGAGGGGGTAAGGTAAATGAAAGAGGGAAGGGAAACATAGTCAATAATATTGTTAAAAGCTCACATGGTGATAGATGATTACTAAAATTAGTGGGGTGGTCATATTGTAAGGTATAAAAATGTTGAATCACTATATTGCACACTTGAAACTAATATAAGCAATATAATACTGTATGCTAACTACTTAGATAAAAAATAAATTTAAAATCACATAAGTATGTTTTTCCTATTGAGATAAAAAATAAAAATACATACCTACAGACATATATATCCCATTTCACCCATTCCAATAGTAAATAAATAAATGTCATAGTTAAAAATTCTATTGGAATCACTGATGGAGGTAAAAAGGTTTAGAATCCCACCATGAAGCGTGCAGCAGAGTCTTCGAAGATGAATCAATTCAGTCCTATACACATGAATAAGCTGAGGCCTACAGAAATGTATTCAAAGGGATGCAGGGGAGAAAAAAAGGTGCCAGTTGATGTAATTGTGGCAGCAGCTCACAATATAAGCCATTCTGTGTTGATAACTAGCCTCGGAAATCTCTCCCTCACCCCCTACCATTCCAAGAAGCCCCATTCTTCTAGTTGGGATAAACAACTAAGGGTCATTCTGAGAAATCCCTTAGCATTCTTGTTTCTCTCTGAAAGAAGGTAGCTATGAACAGGTGTGGACACATGTCTTAAACATGCAGAGTGATTCAGCTAACTATAGCTACAGGGCTAGCACAAGCTACTGAATGGAAAAAGTCTTGACCAATCTCAGAATTGGAGAGCTGGGGGGATCTTGAAAACCTACCTCATTCTACATAAAAGTAAGCTAAGGAAAAGACAAATTAACAAATTTGCTCCAAGACCCCAATTGCAGAGTTGGCAATAAAACCTTAATAGAGATACTTGGATCAATTCAAAGGTGTATTTGGTAGCTTTCTTCAGGCTGCATGTCAAGAACCAAAGAAACAATATTTCCTGCGCAGTAGAAGCAGCTTTTATACTGAATTCCAATTTTCTAACAGAAAAAGCTATTTTTGCACTTTGGTTCCTGAGGAAGCCTGACTCACCAAGAAAGGAGAGAACAATTATTCACAGTGAACTTCTCTAAATTACTAATGTTTTTTCATAGTCCTTCAACAGCCAGAGGCATCATGGCAAATAGGAACCCACCCAACTGTTTCTTTGCTTCTCATTGCTCTCAGAATAAAAACAAAACTCCTTAGACAAGTTCCAGGCTCTGAAGCGTTCAGCCCCAGATGCCTCCACAGCTGCACCCAGTTGTGTGGTTTGTATCCTCAACAGGAGGCCTTGGCTGGTGGGCAAGGAGGGGCCTGAAATCCAGGCAACACTCTACTGGCCAGGCCTACGATTTGGCTTCACTGCATCTGCCTGCAGTAGTTAGGGTGCTCTTCACAACTGGTGTGAGGGAACCCTCATGGCCAGCAGCTGCTCTGGACACCAGCTTTCTTAGACCACCTTCTCTGGCCTCTGCACTCCTTCTGCTGGAGCTTCTAACCATCCGCAGAACTCACCCTGCCTCTAGCCCTCCCAGGCCCATGCACAAGCTGTTCTCTACCGGATCCTTCCTACCTCCCTCACATTGCAACTTCTTCAGC